GATCATAATATTGTGACAAGTCTTTCTTCTAGCTGTTATTTCTGCCTGTGCTGTAATTTTGCTACGGCTGTGAATGACCGCAATGTGCCTTTACACATGCTCAACCCTAGAGCTGCGTCCTTTGTCATGTTATTGTATTTTTGCCCGGGTTGTAAATAACTGTCAATATGTTTTTACTCAAATTCAACCCGATAACTGCATCCTTTGTTGTGGATAGTTGTCGGGTGCTCTGGTGTGGTTTGCTTCTTCTTTCCTATCAAACGTCTGTCGTCTTTATCTCCTCTCCTTCTTTTTTATGTTTGTTACTCCCTTGTAACACCTCAAACCTTCGGCTCTTATATGATTTTGTTGTGTTGCAAGTGCCGTAAAAGACTTACGAAAACAAAAATATATCCTTTGTAATGTTATTGTATTTTTGCCCCATCTGTTAATGGCTGTCAATATACCTTTACTCTTACTCTCAAGCCTGTAGCTGCATCGTGTGTGGTGTTATTGTATTTCTGGACCAGCTATAAATGGCCGACAATGCCTCTTTACTCATTCTCTCAAACCTATAGCTGCATCGTCTGTCATGTTTTTGTGTTATTGGAACATCTGTGAATGGCCATCAATGTATCTTTACTCATATTCTGAACCCGAGAGCTGCATCCTTTGTAATATTATTGTGTTTTTGGACCAGCCCTTGTATCTTTACTCTCACTCTAAACCCAATAGCTGCATTCTTTTTAATGTTATAGCATTTTTGTCCGGGCTGTAAATGGCCATCAATATATCTTTACTCATATTCTGAACCCTATGGCTGCATCCTCTGAGTAGTGTTGTGGTGTTTTTGGACCAGCTGTAAAAATGGTTATCAATATTATGTCTTTCTTCATACTCTCAACCCTATAGCCGCATCCTTTGTAATGTTATTGTATTTTCTCTGTGCTCACTGTTATTGACTTGTGGGTGGTTTGGTGGGTGCTCTGGTGTGGTTTGCTCCTTCTTTCCTGTCTAACATCTATCGTCCTGATCTCCCCTCCTTCTTTTTCATGTTTGTTACTCTCTTGTAACACCTCTAATCTTCTGGCGCTCATATGACCTTATTGTGTTGCAAATGCCGCAAAACTCTTACTAAAGCTAAACTAAAAGTATCGACCTGATCTCCCCTCCTTCTTTTTTATGTTTATTACTCTCTTGTAACACCTCTAATCCTCGGCACTTATATGACCGTATTGTGTTGTTAATGCCATAAAACTCTTACTAAAACTAAACTAAAAATATATCGTCCTCCTTCTTTTTTATGTTTGTTACTCTCTTGTAACACCTCTGATAAATCTTCTGGTGCTCATATGACCTTATGCGGTTGCGAGCGCCAAAAAATCTCTACTAAAACTAAAACTAACTGTAAACGGCTATCGATATGTCTTTCCTCATACTTTCAACCATATAGCCTATAGTATGATAGCTGCATCCTTTGTAGTGTTATTGTATTTTTGGACCAACTGCAAATGGCCATCAATGTATCTTTATTCATACTGCCAGCTCTAAAACTGCACCCTTTGTTACGTTATTCTGTTTTGGACCAGCTGTAAATGGCTATCAATATATCTTTACTCATAATCCCAACTCTAAAGCTGCATCGTTTGTAATGTTACTGTGTTATTGGACCAACTGTAAATGGCTATCAATATGTCTTTTCTCATACTCTCAACTCTATAGCCTATATAAATACATGTAGTATGATAGCTGCATCCGTTGTTACGTTTCTGTATTTTCTCCGTGCCCACTGTTATTGATTATATCGGTGGTCGCTCTGCAAGAGACGAAGGTAGCAGGGCAGTGCATATATACGCCCTTCCGTCGCTTACGTCAGAAGTAGAATTAGTGGTTGGTTTGAGGGTGCTTCTGGCAGATCCTACTTCTTTTCTTTCCTTCGGTTGCTTCCATATCTGCCTTACGTCTTCCCTTGTGGTGGTGGTGGTGATGGTGATGATGATGAGCCTATAACTGCACCCACCAACAAACATGCCGTTGTATTTTCCCCTGTGCCCATTATATTGATTGTATCAGTGGTCTTCTGTCTGCCTCTCAGGTCTTTACAGCATTGTAGCTAAAGGGTATTTTCTTATTCTATGTCTGTCTGTCTATCTGCCCCTGACTCACGCGCGCGCGCGCGCGCGCGCGCACACACACACACACACACACACACACACACACACACACACACACACACACACACACCACCACCACCACCTGGGTTTCCCACAATC